ACGGACAAGAAGGACGGAAGACTGACATGACAAACATTATATGCTCCGGCCATATTCATGGCGGGGCATAAAAAGGTGTTCGGATTTTTGGAATCACTTTGAAATATCTATAGAATTTGAGATTTCAGTGTTCTAGATACCAACTTTTAGCTCTACTGGTCAGAGACCAGAAGAGTTTATGCGATAGTAAGGTATCCGCGTCCGTCCGTCTGTCTGTCTAGCTGTCTGTCCGTCTGTCTGTAAACAATTTTTCAAAACGCTACTCCTCCTACAGTTTTGGTTTGATTTTAATATAACTTGGCACACAAGTAGACTACACTAAGATATATAAAATAGTGCATCGGTTTTTGATTTCGATGAATGGTGTTGCCATGGTTACTAAAAATAGAATTTTCTGTGAAATTCCTTTAAAACGCTACTCCTTCTACAGTTTTGATCTGATTTCCATATTACTTGGCACACAAGTAGACTACACTAAGATACATGAAATAGTGCATCGGTTTTTGATTTCAATGAACGGTGCTGCCATGGTTTCTAAAAACAGAATTTTCTGTGAAATTCCTTTAAAACGCTACTCCTCCTACAGTTTTGATCTGATTTTAATATTACTTGGCACACAAGTAGACTACACTAAGATGCATAAAATGGTGCATTGGTTTTTGATTTCGATGAACGGTGTTGCCATGATTACTAAAAATAGAATTTTTTGTGAAATTCCTTTAAAACGCTACTCCTTCTACAGTTTTGGTTTGATGGCAATGGCTTCTTTTCTCATCCTTTGTTATAAGTACAAACCAGTAGAGCTACAGTCTCGACAGAGACTTCTGGTTTATTAAGGTCTTCCGTTTCCAACGGAAGACCTTCTACTGATTCTGTTGGTAAAGATTATTATTCTTTTTTTTTCTTCTACTTCCTAGACGCCAACTTTGAGGCCTCATTTCTCACTTATTTATCAACGGATTTGGCTCAAATTTTCAGACATTATAGACATTATTAAACTCTATCAGAGTGCTATCTAACATTTCAAAAATTCACTTCCGGTGCATGCTGGTGCATGACCTATATATGCACAGGTAATTCTTTTCACTCGGCATGTAAACGAGAGCTCCTCATGCGTGTAACCAAAGCAAGCTTACTATAAATAATAAACATGGCTACGTTGGATTCTAATATTCTTCAGAATAAAGTTCTTGAAGTGTTTGTGCTTTTTTTTCCAAATTATCATGTTTATTCACTGACAACTTTCCCTTTTATTTCATTTTTTTTAAAAATCGTATAAAGCAAGTGTACTAAAAAGGGAAGAAGATATAATCTTTTCTTCTTATCACATAAAAACAAACAATATAGTGAGAAAATAAAACATAACTAAAAAGCACATATACTATTCACAGCCATTAAGTGCACGGCTTTAACATTCACCTTGTTTGTTTACAATTATATAACGCGCCTCCCTCGATAGCGGCGGGGCAAAGTCGGTCACAGGGAATCAATCGGCTTGTGATCCAGCGACCTACAGTCATACACAAAAAATAAACAACCACAGATTAATTCATTCTTGATAAAATTGTTCCTTTTTATACTATCTCTGCCCCATGAAAATATTATTTTGTTCGCGTCTTACGGTCTTACGTATGGTAGGAAAGAAAGCTAGATCCGTATTCACCGTAAACAAGGCTCCGTTCTCATTTTGATATTGAAGAATAATTGAAATAAACTTGCCGTAAGTAATAAATATTTTACAACACTATATCATATCTCTTTTTTAAATTAGGTTTTAAACGTGTTCTTTGTTTCCCGTTCAGAGTATTCGATGGTATCATTTTCCTTTTATAAATAAAGATTTCTCCAACTCCAAGAGAAAGAGTTATAGAAAAAAAAAGTACGAGTATCTTTTATTCGTTTGAATATAAACACAAACAATTTGAACGGAAACAATATACGCCCGGATTTCATAAAAAAAAAACGTTTAAGAGTCAAATAATACACAATTATTTACTGTGCGATTCTCATATTCACCTGGAACCCAGATTCATTACGTAATGTATCTTTCGATTACACGCGGCGGAGAAATTCTAAAGCGACACACCGCGGTGAACCATTGACCTCGCACATGTCGCAGTTATAGGCAAAATAATTGGTATATTCAAACGATTCTACAACAGTAAGCAAATATTATTTTCTCAAAGTAAATTAAATATTTCACAAATATTTTAAAATGTTTTAGGTTTGACTTTAGTATAAAACGCTGGGGCATTTATTTTACATGCACATTAATCAGTCCTCAATTTTTAAATATTCGTTAGCCATGTTAGCTCCATGTGTAATTTGACGATTCATAGCGCAAGCACTGGCGATCTTCAGTTACTTTACCTCAACCAATATTAATTAAAATGCACAAGCTTTGCTCTTTTCACACACAAATAAATCCGTTTTCAACAAAAGTTTTCCAAAACACATTTTTTTTCATCACAGATATTAACCATGGCTATACCAATTTTAAACTTTTAAAAGGAATCTCGAATCGTAAGGATAGAATTATACTCAATGAAATGGATTAAACATCGATAAGTAACACCGGCACGTGTAAACTTCATAAGTGACTTCTGTGCTGCACACTGTCTATTTATATTACATGTTTTATAGTAAAGTTCAAGAAATAATGATTTTAAAGCAATAAACTTAATTTGTTTTATAATTTATTCAAAACCCATATAAATGATTAGTATAGTATGCCAGAGACATATAAAACTATATAAAACATATAGAAACTCCATGTTGTTTGAATATTAATATCCAGTGATGTTTTAAAATACCTCAATGTTGTTTTTCTGACCTGTGACAAAATGAAACGAGACAATGCAAATTTCAAACATCTTCATTGGCCAATGACAGAAAAGTTGTAAAATTCCTGTCAGGGTTATGAACTTCTAATCACTAAAAGGTGTCTTGACACAGAGCCAAGGTTATTCTGTTAAGATCAAGGTCACTGACATATTTTCTTTACTACGTCATGAAGTAGTAAATGAAAATCATAGGAGGCTTTTACTTGAAACATAGATTTCTTATGATTGGAGGTTTTGTCATGACTCTGATCAAATGTCTTTCTGGCAAATCAAGGTCACTGACAAAGAAAAAAATGTTTAAGCATAACTTTGTAATTAAAATTCACTGGAGGCTCATGCTGAGAAGAAAGGTTGTTGACATAAGAAAGTGCAGTGACCTTGACCCAAGGTCTGTACTTCCTGTCCACAGCTCCAACGGAAGACCTACTCGTTGCTTTGCAACGAGCTCGGCTCTAGTTTTCATATATTCTTGAAGCATATTATGTCAGTTAAATGAATCAACAGAGTTCCTGGTTTGAATTGCAGGCAGTTGGGTTTCAGTGTTAAAGGACAGTGTTTAAAAAAAGACTTCAGATAAGGTTTTAAGCACTGTCCCAAAGGTAGTGAATCCAGCACAGGTCTCATTCATACATTGGATATTGTTGTCAGCAGTTAATCTGGACAAAGTCTTTAAACTACTTATGTTGTCCTGGTCTGGCGCAGTAGTGTCATCCTATTAGTGATTTATTTAAAGACTAAGTACAGGCAGATGAAGCTAAGAGGACATTGCATGATTGATGAATTGCATTATTGGTCATCTGGGTAAAATGTCTCAAAAATGAAGTCTAATTCAGACAGAAATGAGAAGCTTAATGGTACCTGCGTGCTAAAAAAAACTATAAATCCCAGTGATGTGGTGTGTGGAGTTTTGTTCCAAGACATTGGTCCTGGAAGTAGTATTTCATGCCTCTGTAGACAATAGCTATCTATCTCGTAGTTAGATAAAGAATCTGCACAATGTCTTTTACTCCAAAGATGAAAACAAAATCCATGATTAATTGAGTCTGATATCAACCTACCAATATGTCAAGAGTTGTGAACAATTTCTCAGGAGAGTTTTAGTAAACCAGGCACATGATTACTGCCTCCTTACTGATTTTGGGTGGGTAAGACTACCTACCCGGTATTTGTATCATAATAAAGATAAAATGTGATGCAAATCAATTCCTTTATTTGGTATTTAAAGATAAGAATTTTCACCATGTTGATAGAGGTGGAGCTGTCAAGATAGATTATCTAAGAGTGTATGAGTGTATCCCTTTATACTTACTTAAAAGAAGCATCTTTAATCAACAAGAAAATGGAACTACATTGTTTAAAAAGTCTTTAAATATATATGTTTTATGACTTAGGAAGTGTGTTTTATGAGTTGATTTTCATTGCAACCATATTCTTTTTAGTCTTTTCAATGAATGATTAATTCAGCACAGTTATGCTGTGAAATTAAATAAATTATGTAGGTTCATTGGGTATTGAAGCTATTTTTTCACCAAGATTTCCAAATTACGTCTTTTACTTCCCTAGATGAATATAACTATCATTGGTAGAGTATCGAGAAGCTCTACTGGAAATTAACTTTACATTGGCAAATGTCAGGAGATTATTCCTAACCTAATAGCAAGCTTTACTTCAGTTTTTTCTTCTGATCAGAAGAATCAATCCTAGTTATTAGATGATAGCTAAAATTGTTAAAAGACAGGGTTCAAAAAGTTATCTAGTATCTATGAAATATTCTCACATCTTTTTTTTTTGAGGGGGGGGGATGTTAGGATATTATTTAGAGTTTGATAAAGTGAATAATCAATTATTTAAATTATGATTTCATAATTTTAAAAAATTGGTACCGGTAATTAAGAAATTTGATTGAATGAAATATATTCAATTTTAGAATACTGGAATGGTATTAAGTCTAAAATTAGTGTCAATTTGAAAGTTTTTTTTTTAACTAATTGTTGATGACATGTATGATAATATATAACTTTAATTGTTGGTATATTTATATCCCTTAATTGACATGTTCATCTGTGGAGCTAGCTTGGAGGGTGGGAGGGTGTAAACCCTGGTTGTTATATTTTACAATATTCCTTGGCATTGTTTAAATCAGTTTCATTGTTACAGATGGACTGTTCCTGTATGGAGCTGGCTTTGGAGGGGGAGAGGCAGTGTAAAGCGGGGGACTGTCGGACAGGGGTTCAATTCTTTGAGGCAGCAGTTCAGTCCGGTACAGATGACCTCAAGACACTCAGCGCCATCTACAGCCAACTGGGGAATGCTTATTTTTACCTACAGGAGTATGGGAAAGCCCTGGAGTATCATAAACTCGATCTGTCTCTGGCAAGGTAAATGAAGATTTAGAAAGCCATATTTTTTTAGCTCACCAGAATTAACATGATGATATTTGCTGTAGATACCTTTAGGGGATATTAAAACCATGCATGGATAACAGATTTATGTGTACAAAGTAAATTTTTTATGTAAATCTGGAGGAGTTTTGTAATTTGTAGAAAGCTATTTTTAGCTCACCTGAGGCGGAGGCTCAAGTGAGCTTTTCTGATCACATTTTGTCCGTCGTCTGTCCATCTGTCACTTTTCACATTTTAGACTTCTCAAGTTGGGCCAATTTTGACCCCCGGGGGGTAGGGCTGGGCCACAATAGGAAATCAAAGTTTTACATAAAAATATATAGGAAAAAACTTTCAAAATCTTCTTCTCAAGAACCACTGGGCCAGAAAATCTTAAACTTATGTGGAAGCATCCTGGGGAAGTGTAGATTTTAAATTGTCCAAATGTGACCCATGGGTAGGTCGGGGTCACAATAGGTATTGCAAAGGGGAAATCTGGTAAATAACAGCATGGTCAAAGCTTCTCAGGTGAGCTATGTGGCCCATGGGCCTCTTGTTTCTAAGTGTATCTCAGTTTTATCACCTTTGGCAACTACCTGTTAGTGTTGTTTAAATTACTTTGGGTTTGCAGATTTTCAGGGGAGTCCAATGTTTATGGATTTCCTGGGCTACTCCCATTAATTTACTATTCCAGACATTTTTAGCTCACCTGAGCTGAAAGCTCAAGTGAGCTTTTCTGATCACATTTTGTCCGTCGTCCGTCTGTCTGTCTGTCCGTCTGTAAACTTTTCACATTTTCGACTTCTTCTCAAGAACCGCTGGGCCAATTTCAACCAAACTTGCCACAAAGCATCCTTGGGTGAAGGGGATTCAAGTTTGTTCAAATGAAGGGCCACGCCCTCATTCAAGGGGAGATAATTGGGAATTAATGAAAATTTGGGGGTATGTTTTAAAAATCTTCTTCTCAAGAACCATTGTGCCAGGAAAGATGAAACTTATGTGGAAGCATCCTCAGGTAGTGTAGATTCAAGTTTGTTCAAATCATGACCCCCGGGGGTAGGGCGGGGCCAAAATGGCCGACAAAATTTTTACATAGAGATATATAGGAAAATTCTTCAAAAATCTTCTTCTCAAGAATAACAAAGCCATAATTGATCATATTTATATGGAAGCATCATCAAGTAGTGTAGACTCAAGTTTGTTCAAATCATGACCCCCGGGGGTAGGGCGGGGCCACAATGGCCGACCAAAGTTTTACATAGAAATGTATAGGAAAATTCTTTAAAAATCTTCTTCTCAAGAATAACAAAGCCATAATTGATCGTATTTATATGGCAGCATCCTTAGGTAGTGTAGATTCAAGTTTGTTCAAATCATGACCCCCGGGGGTAGGGCGGGGCAAAATGGCTAACCACAGTTTTACATAGAAATATATAGGAAAATTCTTTTAAAATCTTCTTCTCAAGAATAACAAAGCCATAATTATTCATATTTATATGGAAGCATCCTCAGTTAGTGTAGACTCAAATTTGTTCAAATCATGACCCCCAGGGGGAGGGCGGGGCCACAATGGCCGACCACAGTTTTACATAGAAATATATAAGAAAATTCTTTAAAAATCTTCTTCTCAAGAATAACAAAGCCATAGTTGATCATATTTATATGGAAGCATCCTCAGGTAGTGTAGATTCAAGTTGTTCAAATCATGACCCCCGGGGGTAGGGCGAGGCCAAAATGGCCAACCACAGTTTTCAAATCATGACCCCGGCCGACCAAAGTTTTACATAGAAATATATGCGAAAATTCTTTAAAAATTATCTTCTCAAGAATAGCAAAGCCATGATTGGTCATGGGACTACTTTTGGATTTGTACTTTTCAATAATAAACCAATTTCTACTTCTTCCTAGCCACAGTGCTCAGGTGAGCGATGTGGCCCATGGGCCTCTTGTTTGTGTAAGCATTATTTGGTAAAAGTTAATCAGTGTGTCCTTTCTTTATCTTGACCTTCCAAATGACCTTGACTTTTCTTTTATTAAAACCGCTGAAACCTGGATGGGACATTCATATTTTTAGTTTGCAATTGTATGAAAATAAAGTTTCTGCATTTCCATTAATTAACTTTTAAAAAGACAAACAGAAATGCTTTGCTAAAATCATGTATGATAGATTATTTTCAAGAGAAAAAAAATTCCTTCCTATTGATTTTTTTAAGGATGAATCGACCATACCGGGAGACACTTGTGATAAATAACAATCTAGGAACATTTAACAGGCTTAGCATGACAAGAAATTGTAAAATTGTATTGATTTTTAAGTTATTAACTTGTTTAAGCTCAAATGAAAATCATACATCTGGATGAGGTTTCCCATAAAATGCTTAAAATCAATTATTTTACTTTGCTAAGCCATGGCACCAGTCATATGTGTATTCTCAGAGAGAAAAATTGTCTTCTTGTCTCAGTGGGGAATAGGGAAAAAAATATAAAAATCATTTAAAGAAGTCACAGAAAAAAATCAATAGAGTTCATCTCAAAGGAGAAATCCTGATGTCTTCATTACCTCAAAGTCAGACCTAGACTAAAAATTAGAAAGTCATATACAGTCAAACCTTTCAACCACTAGATTGAAGACATTTTGTCATGTGTGACCTTTAAACTTTTCACTGAAAATTTTTTCATTATATTTTACCTGCATTTAGTGACTACCTGTTTAATTCAATATGCATCATTTTTGGTCCAGAAGCAGTTTCAAGAGCCTGAATTTAACAGTATTCAATCCTGTTTTCAATAGTTTAAAAAAAAAAGCTTTGCCTCTGAGTTGTGGTTTAGATAACAAAAGTAAGATTATGCTATATCAAAAACTTTCCTCTTTCAGTATGTTTATCTATTTACAGTGAATCTGAAATGTCATCTGAAAATAGTTCAGATTCTGAGAAAGATATATAGACTCAATTCATTATGTTAATGATGAATTATTTTAAAAGATGGTGTGCCAAACTAATAACATGTAGTCAGAATTAAGACATAGGAAGTAGCGGAAAATGTGTTGTTATTTTGGAATTTGTAAAGTATCCCCTCTTGGAATGTATCCTGATTTCTGTTTTACGAGACAGTAAGCCATGTCGAATCCTTACAGAACAATCCTCAGGGATTTGTTATCACAGATTCTCCAATGTTTAGTCTGAGTAACTTCTTCAATGCAGTCCTAATGGTGCTCATTGCCTGACTTAAATCTCACAGACAAATTCTGTTTACAGAACCCTGGGAGATAAAGTTGGGGAAGCCAAAGCCAGTGGAAATTTAGGAAACACTCTCAAAGTATTGGGCAAATTTGATGAAGCTATTGCCTGTTGTAACCGACATCTCGAGATATCCAGAGAACTTGAGGATAAGGTGAGACAGAAATAGACGCTCAATAAGTCAGGGATACACAACAAGCCACAAACAATGGAAGAAATTTTATAGTTGCTCTTTGTTTTTTGGCAAATTAATATTGATATTGCATTAATAAATAGAGAAGTGGAATTGAACTAACTGGCTGATTTTTAAGTGGATTTTCCATTAATTTCATTATTAAAGACAATTTTCCTGGGGGAAAAAATTCTTAATTGGGAAAGAATACTTTCAGGATGTTGTTGATATTGTTATGAGTTCTATATTCAAGATAAAACAGATTTTCATTTCAACGGGCAAATATAATTTATTTGGTAAGATTTTAAGTAAATGAATAGATAAAATAAATGTGTGCAGGAAACCAGGATTTTAGAAATCCTTAATTCTTATTTGTTTTGTAGGTTGGGGAGGCCCGAGCTTTATATAACCTTGGTAACGTGTATCACGCCAAAGGTAAACACACTGGTCGCTGTGGTGACCAGGACCCAGGGGAATTCCCTCTAGAGGTCAAGGAATCTCTTCAAAAGGCAGCAGAATTTTATGAGTAAGATATACAATGAGTAAGCATTTATCTATTGAAAATACAGTATATTGAAATTTCTTCCTTAACTCCCCAAAACCACCCCCCAAAAAAGTTGACAAATTTTGATTTAACGACAAAGGTCAGTTACGTCTTTGAAAGAATTCATCCCTAGTAAATGTGATAACAAGCGAGCTATAATATAATTACCCGGTATGTATACTTGTCTGTGACAACAAAATAATCAGATCACCCCAGGGGACAAGGTTGTCATAAAATTCAAAGTAGGAGTGTTTCCTTATCTCGGAAATGACACCCATATATGTTCAAAATGAGATTCTTGAGAGAAAGAACATTGCTGAAATATACCCACAGAGAGAGCTATTGATCTATTTACTCTGTCAGAGAAAAGACATTAAAATGAAGATCAAAAATTTTGAGGTTGATACCGAAGTTTTTTTTATACCCACTGGTAGAGAGGAGACATTTATTTGTCAATATTTCTTTGGTTTAACGTCACCAGCCAGATTCCCAGTTCTGAACCCAGGACTTAACTGAGTATATGAACATATATCTCCTGTCATTAAAGATTAATGTACTATAGAAAAAGTAAGGAGAAAACATATTGCATAGGAAATTAGAAATATGTTCAGGACGTCACAATTCACTTAATGTGCGTCAGTTGTGGTACACTTACAGTAAAAGTAATCAATATATTGTTTTTTCCTTTCTCTGAAAGTAATTTTTATGAATAGAAAACTATTTTTGTTTGTAATATTTATGAATAAAAACTATTCTCGTTACTTAGGAAAGTTAGGTGCATTAATGCAAAAGAAAGGGAAGATAAGTATGTGTTTATATTGACTTTCCTTTTAAAGACACAGAGTAAACATGTATGATAATAAGATGAAAACTTTAAAGGAGAACTGGAAATAGTCATTATGTGTACATGTTTTCATGAGATTTTATACCATTTTGGCACCGCTGAAGAAATCCTTTACATCTTTATCTTAAATCCCATAAAACTATGATTTAATGTAGCTGTAATGTATAGAGAAAATGGCATCATTTATGATTGCATCAATCAGTCCTGATCTTGGTTGTTGCAGCAGTTTGGTTCTTTATTACTTGCCCAGTTTTAGCCTTAAATTTACTTTATTCCAATCATATATCTGTTATATTGATTTTTTTATTTAATAGAAAAAAGCTTTCCATTAAATATCTGACTAAAAGGTAGAATTATAAAAAACAAAAACAGATACATTTCGATTCATAATGGTGGTATCAATATTTATGGAAATCGTCATCACAGATTAAAACATTAGATTTTACAGCAGATGTAATAACATTCATACTTGTAAATAAAATGGTCTGCTATTTTATTAGCTCTGTTTTCTAGGACATTGCTCCTTGATTGTAACGTACTCAGTGTCCCTGAAATGTACAGGAAAAACAGTAGAAGAAACAAAAACGTATTTAACACCAATTACTTTCTCTTGTTTTTCCAGAGGCAATCTACAAATCGTACGAGAAATAGGAGATAAGGCTGCACAAGGTCGAGCTTGTGGTAACCTTGGCAACACAAACTATCTCCTTGGTAACTTCAGTGCTGCCATCCGATATCATGAAGAGGTAGGATTAGTTCCCTCAAATCAAACAATGATGACTACCTGTATATCATGTGTAGGGAATGAACAAAAAACAAGGATTATCATTTTGACAATAAAAACACCTTTAGGACATAACTAATGTGGTTTTGATCTTTATTTTCTTATTCCCTGTTTAATTTACAAATTGCAATAGCTGAAAGACTTTTATGTAACTTTTATAATGTCAAATGATGCTGTCACCTCTTCTTAATCAAACTTTGAGGAAATACCAGCTTATATACGTATTCTTTTGATAATTTTTCTTTTGAATAACACACAGTTTTTCATCATTTGATATCTATATTCTAAACTTATGATTCCAAGAAAAATGCTATACAGGCATACAGCCCAAGAGTGAAGAGCATATCATATTAGACACAAGATACATACAAGCTTTATACACTTCACTTTTGTAATGAGCATTTGATTCTTCTGTCAAGTAATGTACAAATGATAGACATTCAGTTTGTAATCAGGAGATTTCATACAAGCACTTGAGTGGACAACACAGATCACTTAGTAAATGACACATCCATTTATCCCCCCAACAAATAAACAAAGATAAGTGTCCAGACTGTGTCAAGCACGCGTGGCCTAAAACATCTTGTTTACTGTGTGTTTGAAACATTAAAGTTAATATCACCTATGAGTATTAAAATTCTGCAACTTCTTTTAAAACCTCATAAGTAGGATTAAATTTTGATATGTGTTTATTTATTTTGAAAAGGGGTGATTTACAGCTAGCTGCAATATTGTAGCCCCCCTGCATCTTTTTTTTTGGGGGGGGGGATTTCCATAAAACATCAGATTAAAAAAGTTGGAGAGGGCTACATGTACATTATTGCAGCTAATTTACAGCATGTCTTTAAAGCAAATATTGTGTTTTCAAAATGTCTGTCAACAGCCAATCAGTGCTCAATACTTGAATGAAAAGTGCATTATTATTGAATTTATGCATTAATTTTATCCTTATCTAAGTATTAAATGTTTGATAATTGAACTTTAATGTAAATCTTAACGCTAGAGATAAGAAGTTAAAGATCAAGGAAATGTAGGATAAAATTATTTATCAGATTTTTGAGATCAAGTAATATGTTGGAAAAAGCATCTTTTTAAGTATGACATTAGATCATGTTTGCAAGACATGTAAACTTTTCTACTTGTTTTTTTTTTAATTTGTCTTGTCTGAAATTCTGACATTCAGTTTGTCTCCAACCAGAAGTCTTCCTGGTGAAGAATGAACTAAGAAATTACAGCTTATGATTTTAAAAAGTTATAAAAGCTTAAAGAATAAGATATCACCTTATCCATATGTCAGTCTGTGCAATTGTGTTTGTGCCAAAAATATGTAATAGAGAAATATTGGAAGTGCATTTTAAGCGTAATTGTATATGACAAGAGGAAAAATGTTTTAATCTTAAAACAAGATTTTGGTGGAAAGTTCAAAGCATGATCATGCATAGAAATTTAGAAGAAAAAAAAACATGGACATTAAAAGAGCAAATCCTGCCCTTTTAATTATCTTAACATAAGATTATAGTGTTCTATTGTTAATTGGGTCTACATGTGCATTTGAATATGGTCTTTCCAGGGTGACTAAGAAACCTTGGATTGGTTGTTGAGATAATGAGATTACTTATATTTGTATATAGAAATTTTATGGAATGAGAAAAAAATGAAGGTTATATAAAAAGGATGGTATGGTTGAAATATGTCACATATTTTATGAAATAGAGTGTTCATTTCAGCGGCTGGCTATTGCTAAAGAATTTGGTGACAAGCAAGCAGAGAGAAGAGCCTACAGCAATCTGGGAAACGCTCACATCTTCCTTGGGGAATTTGATGTAGCAGCAGAAAAATACAGGTATTGTAATTGTACCATACATCAGGAAATTTTACTGCCAGTAAGGTTTTGACAATTTTTCACTTGCAGTAATTTGCAAAAAATATTTTTAAAAATAAAAGAATATTTTGGTAAAATGGGATTTTTTGTGGCCTTTAAATTGATGATTTAGAGGTATATAGTTTTTGTCCTGTCTGTCTGTTTGGCTGTCTGTCTGACTTCATAAACTTTTATTTTGCCAATAGCTTTTGATTGGTTGTAGAAAAGACTTTAATTTTTCACTAATATATTCCATGTAACAGGACCTTTTTTGGGTAATATATTTGACCTTGAGTTTGACCCAATTTTGCAAAAATATATTTAAACTTCACCTTGGCTTTAACCGTTTAATTGTTAGAAATGGGGCTTTTTTACTTCATAGGTATATTTTTTTTGACAAGACCTTAAATTTGACCTTCATTTGGATACTAATAATTTTAACCTTTTGAAATTGGATTTTGACTTACTTTTGAAAAACTGCAACCTTGGCGATATCTTTCAAACTCAAAGACAAGGTCTTCCCCTTCATACCAATAATTTTTGCCCTTTGACCTTGGAGTTTGAACCCCTTTGTTAATTCTTAAACATTGGCTTTAACTTTTGAATAGTTTCTGCTTGGACTTTTCCAATTTTCAAAGGTACATGTATATTCACTGACAAAAGTCAAGTCTTTGGGTAACATATTTTGATCTTTTGACATTGGAGTTTGACATGCATTTTAGAAACCTAAACATTCACCATAATCTGCCAATACGATGGCATTAGTGTTTCACAAACACATCTTTTTAACACTGAGGTGATTTTGCAAAATTTCAAAATCAAAATTGATAAATACATGTAGCTTTACATATTGTTTGGTAAAAATTTCTAGATTTATAAAAGCAGTGCTCTTGAATGTTTTCATTATAAATCCAAATCAGTAATCTATTTATGATTTGATGATTGAATATCAATTTATTTTTTTGAATAATCTCATACCTATATTTATTTCATAGGAAAACTCTACAGATAGCAAAGCTTCTAGGTGACAAAGCTTTAGAGGCCCAGGCCTGTTACAGCTTGGGGAACACTTACACTCTACTCCGGGATTATGAAAAGGCTATAGAGTACCACATGAGGCATTTACAGATTGCCCAGGAGCTGACGGACAGGGTGGGAGAGGGCCGGGCCTGCTGGAGTCTGGGCAATGCCCACACGGCCCTGGGCAACCATGAGGATGCTATGCAGTTTGCCAGTCAGCATTTACAGATCTCGAAAGAAGTATTACTTTCTAATTTTGAATTGAGTGATCACTGTTTTTTGTAGGGCTGGGTATTGGCCTGAGATTTCGTATTGCGATATATTGCGATATTTTTAACTGTATTGCGATATGTATTGCAATATTTTCAATGTAATAAAAATGGCATTTTCTTACTATATTTAATACTTTAATTTACATACAGAATGTACAAACTATGATAAGTAACCAACATAGAAAAAAAATCTTGTTGAATTCATTTAAGTTATGCTCTGAAATGTTCCCACAAACAACTTCTGACTTACTGTTTGGTTTAGTAACAAACTTTTAAAAGTCCATTTTTATACGCCCGTCTTAAGACGGGACGTATTATGTTATAGGCTTCGTGTCCGTCCGTCTGTCTGTCTGTCTGTCTGTCTGCCTGTCCGTCTGTTAGCTTTTCTCATGTCCGGCTCATAACTTTAATACTATGAGGCCTAGAGTTACCAAACTTTGTCAGCTGATACATCTTGGGTAGAAGGTGTGTCTCGCACAAAAAGTAGGTCACTCTGACCTTTAATAAAGATGCTATAGCCAAATATGGAAAAATCCTGTCCGGCTCATAACTAGAAAACTATGAGACCTAGAGCTTTCAAACTTGGCAAAAGTATACAGCTATTGTAGAAGGTGTGTCGCGGCCTATTTCAAGGTCACTGTGACCTTTAATTTAAGTGAATTTTTTTTAAAAACTAAGTCTTTTAAATTTCAAACCTCATAATCCTAAAAAATGTAAAAATATAGTTGTATCCTTATTAAAAAATGTTAAATTAAGTAAAAACTTATTTTTTCATTATATACTTTACAGCAATCTGTAACAAATGTCTATGCTTTGAGAGGAATTCAGTTTGTCCCAAGGGCATAATTATCAAGCACTGGTCAAGAAGAATTTTGATAGCAGAAACTTGCATGTCAAATTAGAGAGAAATTAATGAGTTTATTGTCAGGAGCTAAGAGCATCTCTAGCAATGATGCAGCTGTAATCTTAATTTATCTCTTGGGAGTTGGGCAAAAAGAAATGGCCTCATAGTTGCTTGTGTTAATTAAGAGTTCTTGATGGCTAGTCCAGATAAAGATCTTCCAATTGGTGTAATGTAATTAAAACAAATTCATGTTTTAGTGGATGATTAAAACTAAATTTGTATTGTATAATATAATTAAAACTAATTATACATGTGTTCATTGAAAAAAAAAAAATATATTTCAATTTTTATATATTTGCAACAAATTGCAGTCATGTCTCACTTAGAATTTTATAGTCTGAAGAAATTATAATTTATGTTTGATTTTTTTTATTAAACTGTAGCATTTCTGTTATTTCATAAAATATGCAATAAACAATTTAAGTTTAAGTAAGCTGCAGATGGATATTTGTTATGCTCTAACACAACCAGTTTAGAGTTATATGATGTATTTGTTATAATCAATCCCTACACTGCAAGTCTCTTAGAGATGTATGATAAGAAATGGAAATTAAATCATTGAAATCTGTGTCAATCTGTTAATCAAGGCTACCTGATTTTCTTGCATCCTAACCAATTTATTATTATTGAACAATATTTGACGGGCGTATCATGCTGTGGCGGGGCACTTTATTATATTTAATGACAAAATTCCTTAATCTAAGCATATTGCCAATACAGTGGGTTCCGTTTAAACGGATAGTCAGGTTGTCAGAATAATTTTATCCGTATAGCCGAATATTGAAATAGCCGATTGCAATATTTTCCGTACAAACGACAGATCTACAGTACATAAGTAACAATTTCAACATGGTTGTATTACGTACCTGTACTTTCGTTTTCGTTTGATGAATGTACCAAGTCAGAAAATGAATTATTTCACTTAATTTAATATGATTTTGTATGAATAATTTGTTTTTAATTGAAGTATAAAACTTATTTCCATCTTTATATATTTATTTAGCACCAGGCACATGTTTACATTCATCCCATTCGTTGATGGCATCCATTTTGGAAAACGGAAGTTGATTGAATACATAACTATATTACGTAAACCATTTTTTTCCGGATTGCTGATCAATAAATAAAAAAAAAAACGTTTATTGTTTCATCTTTATTTGTACGTTATATCATTTTCAAGCACATAATAGAGCACATAATAGAGCATAAACATATTGACAAGCACATCAGATTTCAAAGCACTACAACTAAGAACAATTAAGTAAAATACAAACAAGAATAAAATATGATAAACGTAAAAACGAAAAATGATAAATTAAAAGTCAAACATATTTAACACAAAGTAGTCACTGCTTAGTCACTGTTTCTTTCACTTAGTCTTTATGGTATCCAGTTTATGAATTCGGTGATCTTTGACTGTTTCTTCAGGTTTTCGCCTAAACGCTCACAAAGTTCTTCCAATGCGTAGAATGCACTAAAGTCCTCACAACCATTTTCCTCCAGGAAGCGTCGAACATTGGAGAGGGATTCGTTTTTCTCTGTTGAACTCACAGGCAAGGTGAAGCTCTTTTCTTCATCGCTGACTTCTTCTTCCGGGGCTCTTGTCGTTTCTTCCTCAATGAACTGTGCGCAGATCTCATCGTCTGTAATTTGTCTGTGGCACTCGGTATCGTCGTCGTGGTTCACAAACTCAAGGAACTCTTCTCTCTCCATACCGTCAGGTATAGCTGGATCTTCCTCTGGCATTTCTTCTGTGCTGTCGGAATGGAAACCTGCCTTCCGGTAACAATTCACCACTGTACTTTCTTTAACTCCCCGCCATGCTTTACTGAGTAGATGCACTGCGTCGAGTAATGTAAGTCGTTTAGCAATGTCCGTCGCTGTTGAGATGTTGCCGTTGTCGATCTCGCTGACCATTTTCCGTATAACCTGTGATCTGTAGAGGGCCTTCAAATTCCGGATGATTCCTTGATCACATGGCTGGATGATGGACGTCGTGTTTGCAGGCAGAAACTCGAGTCGGATGTTGCTAAGTCGATCGGCAGCGTCTTTAGGATGGGCTGAACAGTTGTCCACGAGTAGAAGAATTTTTCTGTTCTGTCGTACCATGTCTCTGTTGAAATCCGACAGCCACTGCTTGAACAAGTCACCAGTCATCCAGGCATTTCCAGAACTCTTGTAGATCACCGGTAGACTTTTCTTCCCGCGGAAACACCTTGGGTCTTTGCTTTTGCCGATCACCAGCAGTCGACGCTTGTCTGTTCCGGTCATGTTCACTGTCACTAGCGCTGTCACTCTGTCCTTTGCCTTTTTGGAGCCAGCCAATTTATCTGTCTTGAAAGTCAACGTTCCATCAGGAAGTGCTCTGTAATAAATCCCCGTTTCATCGGCGTTGTAGATGTTCTGCGCCTCGTAATCTTTCATCAGCTGTGGTAGGACATCTGTTATCCAGCGATCGGCTGCGTCTGTGTTGGCGTCCTTCTTTTCTCCGTGTATCTTCTTGTAGCTGATGTTATTTCGTTGCTTCCATCGGGACAGCCAGCCAGTCGTTGCGGTGAAATCGACGTTCATTCTCGCTGCCAGGTCTTCTGCCTTTTCTGTTAGGACTGCGCTGGTGACGGGGAGATCTTTGGTGCGGGCCTTTGTGAACCATTCTGTAAGGGCCCCCTCAACTGTCGGTGCCTTCCCAGACCTTTGTCTTTTTCTTTCTGGATTAGCGCTAGTTTCGTAATCTTTTCGTATCGTTTCTTTATTTTTTGAAATAGCGCTAATCTGAGGTTGTGAACAACCTAACTTCTTGGCAATTTCTGTTTGGGGGACTTTCTGCTCAAGAAGTTTAACCGCTTCATACTTGTCTGCCAGGGAGAGATCTGTTCTTTTCCTCTTCAGAGCCATGGTGAGAATGATGAATTTAATTTTCAGACGTATATTTATACGGGGTGCTTGTGATTTTAATTCTTAAAATTGCACTTAAAAGTGAACACATATTCAAATAAATGACCAAGCGCTACCATTTAATAGCGCTACCATTTAATAGACGGTCTAATTCTGATAATTTTAATTTAATGTCCAAGCGAAGTGTCATTCGCAAACTGAACAGTTCAATAATTAAAATTTCATGCCGAACAAAATTGCACACAAGCCAATTATCAATGATCAGAATTAACACCAAAGCCGGTCATCACTATTGTTATCAAAACATATCGATCTACTGTGCCCACTGTTAACACAGGTAAGGTGCTGGCCGATCAGCCGTGACTAATCCCCTCATTGTCGTAATTTGAGTGAAAGTGTCAAACTTGTGTAAACAAAGGATTTACATACGGAAGGTAGAGGTGTGAACAAGACAATTATTATGAAAAATCACTATGATAGGCGAAATTTTTGTATCAGATAAAACGAAAATCCGATATTTTCCTATCAGAATATCAGGTGAAATTATTAATAAATATATAAGAAATGGTTTTGTGCTCTGATATTGTATCAGATTAGCCGAAATATTCGTTTAACCGCTATCAGATTAAATGGAATCCACTGTATATCGATATTACAAAATCGTATTGCGATACGATATTTTTTGTCATTGTATTGCAATATATTGAAATATCGATATTATTGCCCAGCCCTAGTTTTTTGTTGACATAGAGCTGCCAACCTTTGTGATTTTGGCGCAAAGGTTACTGTAAATGTTTTTTATTTGGCATGTATAATATTTGGCAGAAATTAATATTTTAACAAGATAGCATTAATAGATTTGAATTTGCATTTACTGGGTGTGCTTTATATGAATATACATGTATGTAAATAAGACATTTATCGATGTATTTGATTTAGCGGAAGATGCTTTCTGGGAAAGGTGCTAAATAGAATACACAGCCAAATGTAATACATGTATGGTTATAGTATTTGTCCACCTATGATTCTTCATTTGTATGGTATCTTGTGATCTCAATTTATATAAACCAGCATAAGTTTGATTGGTTGGTATGGATTTTACAGATAGGAGATGAGACAGGACAACTGACAGCTCAGATGAATTTAGCTGATCTAAGACAGGTGCTTGGAATCAATGGAAATGTGAATCAGTGAGTAATTGAACAGAGTCTAGTATTTTTAGCCCTATTTTTTCCTGATTTGTTGCAAAAAAATTGACTTCAAAGAATTTTTTTTTTGAAAGGAGTTGTATATCATAACCATGGATGAGGAAATCTTAAAAATACTTCAAATATAGCATTACACACAGTGCCATTTTCTTTTCACAGACATTCAGATGAAAAAGATGTTGGAATAAGTAAGACTTTTATGTTATTTTTGAAATAGATATAAAATTTTATGGTTTTAAAAAACTGCAATAAATATATGTACAGTAGTTAGCAGGTGTAAAATTGAAGAGGTCTGAGGTTGCAGTGAGTTTAACTGTACTAATGTTATTTTTAGGTCGTCGACCATTTAGGAGACATAGTATGGAGAATATGGAATTGATGAAGTTAACTCCAGACAAAAAGGTTAGCACATTTATAGTTATTGAATTGAAATACCTTATTATGGGTAATTTCTGTGGCTGTCCAATGGGGCTTTGAGGATAAGACTAACCATAAAAAAAATTCGCAAAATATTCTTTAAAAAAAATTCGGTACTTTTTTATTTCCATATTGACTGTCGATTTAAAGAAATAAGATATACTTATTGAAGAATTAAATTCAGTGTTTTAAAAATGCATTTTAATTTTAATTCAGGAACATGAACTTGACAAATTCAGTTCTGAAGTACTGTGAACAAGGTCAACATGTCTTTTGAGTCTTACAACATGACAGTTTTCTGCCATATAATCCTTAGCATTTGGAAGTTATTTCATGTAAACTGTAACAAACACAAAAATTAATTTGTAAGCTTTCAGAGGTCAATTGCAAATATTTCCATTCGTAGAAAAATCCTGCCTCGAACTTGAGTGGTGAATCATGTAAAATGTGAGGGTTTGTGAATATTTATTATGATATTAATGTTTTTTGATATTTGGATAAATTTATTTACCTTTTCAGGGAGAGACTGGTGGAGCCAGACCAAAGATGAACAAATTCATGAAATCTGCCAGTGTGGCTGTAGAAGTTGATAGAGAAAAGAAGGAAAAAGTAAGAATTTATAAGCTGAGGAAAAAAATAAGGAAAGCACATGGAAAAAAAAAAGTAATGATGATACATACATGTGGTGTAAAAAACAGTTGTAGTATTTTAAACATGCACAGGTTTTCATTTCAATGTATGTTTACCTTTGTCAGTTATCTTCCCTTGACGAAATGAGTGAGGATTCCTTCTTTGACCTGTTGAGTAAGTTCCAGAGTCGACGAATCGATGATCAAAGGTGCTCATTTAAACCAATGGAATCGAAACCAGAGAGCAATGGGGATCAGCTCAAAAAAGATACAGGTACTCAATAGCAATCTTTAGAGGTACATGTATGATACATGTAAGGTAGTGAAAAAAAATTCTATTTATGATTTAAAAAGTTGAAGTTGCACTAATTTGGGTCTCACTAAACCAAACTAACACAAACAGATGCAATGGCAGTGGTCTAATTTCCACATGTTACAATAAATAATGTCATTTGGCTTGTTCATCTGATGGAATATTCAATTGAGGTTTTACATTGCTCCTGAATTAGATTTTGTGTCAAAGCTAAGCTTCATTATACTCTCTGCAACTAAATACTGCAATCATTATATCCAACTAATCCATGCATGTACATGTAGATGCAAGGTTGAGCTAAACATTTAGGTTATTCTACTTCTTATCTTGAAGGGTTTTCTAACCAAATTTGCAGATTAATGCATCTTTATACTGCCTTTATTCTGCTCCCACAGGGGGTATCAATGCTGTTAGGACAACTTGGGGTTATTTTTAAGTACCTGTTTACAGATGGTGAAGAATTTCTTGATATGGTGGCAGGAATCCAGAGCTCTCGGATGAACGATCAGCGAGCAGAACTTCCCCGGTACCCAGGTCTGAATTCACAGGAAGTGATCAGCCAGTATCTACACAGCCAGCCAACAGAAGAACCCGACGATGCTTTCTTTGAAATGTTGATGCGTTGTCAGGTAAAATCGAAACTCAATAAAGCAGGATAAAATGTAGTTTTCCATGGTTTAATTTTACAGGAAAAGATTTTTTGTTGCATTTCTTTCAGGCCAAAGGAACTGATTTCATGCTGCATGAAATGATTAGTGTTATTTGATTATTTTCTTTTCTGGAATTTTGATTAATATGCATTAAGGCTAAATGAATTTCTCTGCCTGAATGCTTTAACTAACCAAAAAAATTGTGATGTTGAAAAAATTATGGAAAGAAATAATGTTAAAATCATCATCAATTTTGTATAGGCTGTAAGTATTAGTTAATTTGAATTAATATTTCCCCCAAAATACTGAAAAGATGGCCATGGAACCAGATTATTTTCTTGTGCTACATAGATTTCTTGAAATTATGAATGAATACATGACCATGTATAATTGTACATGTATAAATAAATTTATTTGAATTTATGTAACAGGACTTCATGAACTGTTGTCAAGAAATTATTTTTTTAAATGATTATTCTTTAATAAAATCCAATGAAGTACTCAAATGAAGGCAAAAAAAGATCTGTTTACTTTTTTTCCCATCAAAACAGGATATGCTGTAACTGACATTTAAAAAAATATATTTATGACCAGTTGTCATGACCTTGGATGCTATTACTAACTTGAATAAATTCTGTTACAGGGTAGCAGGATAGAGGACCAGAGAAGTGCGATGCCCCCGCCACGACCAGCTCCAACCGTTCCTGATGAAGACTTTTTTAGTTTAATTCAAAAAGTGCAGTCAAGTCGCTTGGAAGAACAGAGGACTACATTACCAAAATTAGTCCCCGAAACAACAGGCAAAAAGAAGAAAAAATAGCCCTTAATTTGTAAACAATAATTGCAAAACACTGTACTTATTTATTTTTTACTGTTAGTGATTTTTTTAACTGCTTGAAGTGTATATACATAAAGCAATGATTTAAAAATTAATTCGGCTTTTGTGATGCCAACTTAAGGTATACGTGTAGGTGCTTAGCACAAAAATGTGTGAGAATATATTTTTATAAATGTTTTAAAATGATTTTTTTTCAGAAGGTATCTTTACAGTTTTGTTGTTATGAAAATGAACATAGAGTCCTCAAGAAATTGTAAAATTCATTTCACATCAGTCCAGGGGTCAAGTTGGAGTTGAAATGATTTTGGCCTGAGAAATTTGAGATATAAAGTTTTAGGGCCTATGATCATCTCTACATGCAAATCTTAATTAAAAAAAAAATTATAACAGCATCAATATAATACAGCATGATTGACTTCATCTTAAGAAATACCATTTGTTGAGCTTTGCTAAATATCATCTCTTAATTTAAAAAAGGGGGCAAAACAGCAATATGTAGGGACATTTAAATCACAGACCTGCCCTATGGTAGGAAAGGATCTCAAATTATTATTGCATTTGTTTTACATGTTGTTTATTAGCCAGAGAGCTGTATTTTTCATTTCAAGTTGTTGCCAATCTCATGTATAAATGGTTCAGTCCAGAAAATTCATTAAGAAATCACTGTGTAAAAAAGAAATTATGTCACAGAAATTTCCTTTTACATGTAAAGTTGAACGCTTTATCTCAAACATGAATATCTTGAACACCAAGGTTATGTCGAAGAAAGTTGACAGTCCTTACCACTTTTTCTTCATGAACATCAACCTTGTTAAATCTGTTGTGTAAATCTTGGTTTCCTCAAGTTTGAGTTAAACATGTTTGACTGTATCTGGCATTTTTTCTGTTTATTTATTCAGGTCACAAGTACTTATCTGAGATTAACAGTCACAGCTATGATTTCATTACGTTATTGCTATTCGTGTATGTGTGGTGAACTACTACAATTCAATTGGTGCTTGTGTATATTGCTCTCACGAGATGTTTTCTAATTTCATTTTTATACACCACAGATTAAAGCTTGTTCAATGGTTTACCTGTCTCCAACAAAATTTTTCATCGATATAAGTTGAATACATGTGTATGTTGAATTGGGCTGTGAACGTGACCCCCGGTATTCAAAGCAACTGCAGTGTCTTTGTGTCATTGGCTGGTATCACTATTTAAAGTGACTGCAGTTACTTTGGGTTTAGCGTCATATTTCACACTCATCAGTTAAATTGTAGTTAATTAAAGCAAATATGAGCTGCATTTTTTAGAATTTTATTTTTATGTTAAAATGTGCTGTTGCAATCAATTTGCATGTAATTTTAGCCTTTATGATGAGTTAGACTAAAAGAAAGTATTGCATTGTTTCAGAAAAATGATTTTTGTGCAATGAAATGTATTATACACTGTATATAGAGAATATTACATACTAAAATCCATATCATATGTCATATCAGCCTGAGGGCCGAAGGCCCGAGGACTGATATGGGGCCTGAGGGCTGATGTGACATATGATATGGATTTTAGTATGTAATATTCTATTTATCATATATTTAAAATTCTTAATTCGCGAGTTAACATATGGTCATTGATGAATGTTTCATGCTTGTTTTTGACATTTTTCTTTTAAATCTTTATATACTGAAAGGAAAAAGAAACGCATAATAGCATAATAGCGAAATATATTTAACTATAAGGCCGAAAATTATGAAAATTGGTCAAATGTGTATTTTGATTACTGTGCACTAAAATTGCTGGTCAAAATTACTCAACCATGAAATGTATGGCGTCACGTAGGGGAAATGATAAAAAGCCAAAAACACGTGCATGTTGATGATGACAATTTTATGATCACATTTTGTGGTGCTAATCGATGCATTGGAGTTATAGACATCATTTTCCGCATTTGAAATCAGTATAAATTTCGTGCAATTCATGGTATGGCTGACGGAAGTTACAATGGTTCCAGTAATTGAATTGCGTAAGTGAATGAAAAGGCAACAAGATGTTGCTGTGCAGTTTGTTTTAAACTTTTCAACAAGAAAGGGTTTTTCAGTTGTCGGAGAGTAAATAAAAAGGTTTCCAACCAACCATGGCGGTGACGTTGACGCGTAACAACGTCACATCAAGACGGGGCTTTTCATCATGTCACCTCGGTTGTTGTCAAGGTAATATCACTGAAACCGATATTTATACAGCAAACTATCATACCAATATTTTCACCCTAAAATTGACAGAAATTCTCTGCTCTAATTTGGTCCGCGAGCTTGGCAACTTTAACGTCGATTTTACTCTCACGCATGCACGTACACGTCATGTGCGTAATGTTTTTAGCATGTTCACACTGAGAAAATGTAGCCAGTGTTTGTCGAGACTTTCTCACAAACATTCACGCCTACCAAACCAGCTGGATTCTGTAAATTCTATCCTAAAATGAAAATTCGTGGCACTCATTCGGCGGGGGGATTTGTTGGCTTTGGAATAATACAGCCTCTATCAACCATTAAGACTATTGTCGGAAGAGTTGAATAATAATCAAATGAGAAAGATAAATGCTCTGTTGAACTCAGTGCACTGGAAATTCAAGGCTGTTACCAATGTGCATGGGAGATTATGAGAATTTTTATTTTAATTTTGGGGGGTATCGACATATCAATTTCAATAACTCAGGAATTATCAGTCAAAGTCACACAAGATTTTGGTAACCTGTAGATTAAAGATGAATTAAAATGTTTGATAACAATACTGGAAAACCTTTCCGAAATAATAGTTTTAATTTAATTTAAAAGTAAAATATGCGTTTCTTTTTCCTTTCAGTATAGAACCAATTTTATTTAATTGACAAAAAAATAAGTCTACAAATGTCAATAAAGAATTATTTCATATGAATATTAAAATAAAATCAAGTAAATTAACTTTTAAACTTTATATAAACGTTACTTCCGGTTTGATATGGATTTTTGGCCCGCCGGTCCGATACGTGATAGGGCTTTTCGGACCGGTCCGTGATATGGGGTATTGTGACGTCACCCGTATCACACCGTGCAGAAACGGTGTATTTACTACTAAGTATATGATAAAAATCAATATTGTACAGGACGACAATAATACAATTTTGCTACAATCTAAGCACATAAATTGTTCTTCCTTCGCAAATATGATCGAAGGAAGTTTATAAATATTCATATTTTCTATTATTAAAATACTTAATTACAATTTTAAACAAAAATTTCTGACATCAAAGTCGCAGCTCATATTGCTTTAAGTGTCATACTAACAGATATAGTCAGACTCGTTACAATTCAGTTGAGTACACATCTTTTCTGTATCCTTATCAGCACCTCCTACAAACAGTATTAAATGCTTATCTTTTTAGTGTAGAAGCATTCCATTTGTGTACCCTCACAGATTCTCTTTGCATATGATGAGAGAAAGACAGGATAATCGTGTTACATATTTGTTGAATGACTGTTTTGTTGCATAATCCATGATATAACTTTTCATTTACTCATGGGACCATAATAAAATTCATTGTAATATATATGGGTTTTTTTGTTTTTGTTTCTAGAGACTAAAGTCTGATCCTTAACAAAGTATAAATTGGGGAGAAAAAATATTATACTACATATATGTACTTGGTACAGGGGGCTTCATATATTTTAAAACGGCTTTGGCACAGATGATTCACCAAGTTAAGAAAGTTCAGTATATTTATAAATACAGTGTACAATTATAAATGACACAGATACAGTATGTGAAGTGCTTCTACATGATTACGCAAACAACTGAATACCCAGTATCTGTACTAAAGAGGTAGGTTCACGTACTCCATAAAATGGCCCTGTCAATATACCAATTAACTGACCAAGTCCTTACATCCTATTTTGATCATCAACATAAAGTAGAGACTTAGTGCTTTCATTTTCTATAAAAAAAATTTCCTCTGAGAGTCCAAGTTTGGAAACTCAGACGTGAAACTGCAATGTTCTTGATTTTTGAAGAAAATGGGAAAAATTGAGCATCTTCAACTTTTGATAAAAATATGAGCCCACCCCGCGATCCAAAAATTCTTTCATGGATTAAAATCTTCTGAAACAGTTCCTTCATTATATGATTCAACATTTTAGATCGGACGTTGGGGGCTATGCAAAATATTAAAAAAAACAGCTTAAATTTTTGGTCATTTTTAATGAAATTTTCAAGATTTGAGGAATATGACGAAATTCATGACGTCATAATACATAGACAAGAGAAAAAATTACGTCATTTTTATTTGATATGAAGTCACCAAGGGTCCAAGTGAAAATACAACATTGTTTCAACTAAAACTGAGTAGTTCTGATTTTTCAGAAATTCACAGGGCCAAAAATGGACCATTGTGAACTTGGTTCTTTTAAATATGTCCATTTATGTACACGTACATTAAATTTAATTTCTCATAAACAAAGCTATGGCAAAAGATATTACTTTATGTACCATTGACTCCTGTGTCAGAGTAAAGGACTTAATTCAGCAGTAACCAATATTTGCCCCCAAAATCAAACTTGGACGGAGTGATATTTAATTATGTTGTAAAATAGGGGGGAACATGCTGACTTCAAAGCACTGAATGTTTTCGTTTGCAATGACATCATATGTCAATGACGTCGGAAAATGACGTAAATTTACAATTTTCATGATTTCGTCAGAAAAATGTAAAAATTGCGTCAATATTTTGAGTAAAAATCAAAGAGCGCAGGTCTGCTCAGGCTCAATATTTTGATATAATGTGTAGAATGATAATATCAATTAAATATGCAAATATTGTTCCTGAGCAGACCTGCGCTCTATAAATTCTATAGCTTAAATTGTTGGAATTTTGTCTGTTTTGTTCTATTTCAAAAAAATAATGCAAAATCCGACTAGTTTGTGACGTCATAGAAACAAAAATTTTCAATAACTTACTTTGAAAATATAATATGTTTTGTTAATTTATATTTTTAATACAATTTACATAATACAACACATTTTAAGAATTTTTCAGAATTGATTTTTGTGGGGGCAAAGATGAGCAATATACCAAATATAGTTCTTTGGCTTTACCTTGTCAAAAAATACTGCAATCTTACATAAGGTTTGGGATTATGTACATGTATGAGTCACCATGTTTTTCTTTCTTTTCAATATTGTGCCTAGACCAATCTTCATAATAAGCATGAGAAGCTCAATACTGAAAACGGCTTATAACCTCCAGGTCTTACACGGCATCAGGGTGTTACATGATTTTCAGAACAAAGGTAATTTTGAAAAATTGAAGGTTACTGGCAGAAAAGGTGTACAAGAGTCTGAGCCCAAAAACACTGATGAAGAAATTGAGGATTACACAACATAATGAGGGTGAGACATGACCTTACTCAAGGTCACTGAGGCAAATTCAAGGTCATCTACAGGCCAGAGTATTATTCCTTTCTGGGCCAAAATCTTGTAATGGAAGAACTCAGGTAGGTATTGCTTGACACAAACACTATGTATGACAGAGTAACATGACCTTGACTGAAGGTCATTATGGCAAGTCAGTGGCACAGGTGCTAAATCCATGATTCCATGTTAACCTTGTCTAATAGCTCATACTTGACACACACATCCAAGTACCAGGGTAATTTGGACAAGTTTTAGGTCAATGAGGGAAATGTATATAACTCTTGTCTGTGCCTAAAGTTGAATGGAGAAACACCCAAAAAAACATATCTTAATGAAGACTTCAATGATTGTGCTAGACCAGAATATACATGTATGTGATAGGTACATGTAAGTATACACTAAGTAATGGTATGCTGTTTTACATAATCGAGTCTCGGAGATTTCTTAAAGTGCATTGAATCGCAGGAGGATTGCAGTACAATGATAACAATTATCCACTTCCAAAAAGAGATTAATACTGTCTACTGGCCCGTGGAAACTGATGCCACTGACAACTGCTCACATACACCACATTTGAAGTTATTAAAGCCGAAATTCATATTTTAAAGACCATCAATGCGTATAAGTCCTTTGTTTTAATTGCTAGTAATTTTGTAATATTACTATCAGTATCTTTGTTATTTATTTTGATGATTATTGTTAATGGTTAAACTTAAAATAAAGAAACAAAATGTGAGTAAAGCAATATTTAATGTTGATTTGAAAATTGACAGTACCACAGTTGTCCCAAAAGGTCATATATAGAGAGATTAAACAATTTACCATATTTTCTTTTTGCTTTCAAAACTGTCTTCATCAAAGAAAAAGCAATATTAAATAATCAAGAATATCAATTATAATAAGAATTACACAAAAAGAAAATAATGATAAATAAAAAAAGAAATACATGTATTGGAGTTCGCTGCCACAGGAAGTCGAACAGAAATATCAAGTTTTGGTTATTGTCCTTTGAAATGCATCAATATTTTTATTACCCGGTACATTGAAAAAAACACACTTGACTCAGGGATGCAATAAAATTCACTGCCCCTGAAGCATGGATTATATGTATACATGTCTTAATTCTCATTTATAATTAGCAGTTATTTAGAAATGCAGTAATGATATTGAAAGTATACATTATCATATACCGCTATATAATCGGACATTAAAAGACATGACTGACAATTGTTGAAATATGCCTATTACTAAAGTGATTATAAATATTTGGCACAAAATTCAAACATAGTTTTAAAAAAGAAAGGTTTATAATGAATTCATACCCATATTATATTGATTTTCATTCCCTATAGTTTTAAAATATACATTTATTATGAAAAACAAATCCAAATTGGTCATCTTTGCTAGTATAATTGTGTTTTACTTGCATGTATTAAAAAATATATTAACACTCAGATTATCCCCCCCCTCAAAAAAAAACTCTTTTAAGTCGATTAAAATGTAGTTTGGCAATGATGATAGTTCATGCTATACATAAGAACAAAGAGAAGGGCAGTTTACCTTTTAGAGATTACTAGTATCAATGGGATTTTAAACATGTTCCAAGTTAAAACAGTACCAAGATAATACAGGTTTCAACTCTAGGATTTTTCAAAATAAATACTGATGTTATATTTATTTGCCAACTATTTATATGATGTCTGATATCTCTATTTTTATATCAAAATTAAAGAACATTTTCTGTAAAAGGTCATTTTTTAACATACATGAATCACATTTCAAGCATACAGTAATATAAACTGTAAATCACAAATGTCAAAAACACTCAAATTAAAAGACCATATCAGTTTTAAAAGACAAAATAAATTCATAATACAATTAAAAATAAACTGTAAAAAATTAGTGCTTTACAATATTCTTGGTTAATGGTTGAATCCCGATTTCGTTGTTTGAAATATCTAACATGGTATATTTTGTGAATACCGATTCAGGTTTGATATTCTGTAAAATGTTAAGGAAAGAGTTTCTGCAGTTGATTGGAAACAAAAAATAAAAAAATAAAAATAAATGAAACCATTTCAAGTTAAAGCTCTGTAACTATTGCAACAAAACTCTTAAATAGTAACACTCAGCTAGCCATATGTATATAAATAAATATCTGTGCTTGTCTTTTCATAATTAATGTTAAGGAGGGGGGGGGAATAAAAAATAAAACTGAATCATTTTGTGATATATTCTAATAAAAAAAATGGATAATGCAATATACCATAATACAATTTTTCAGTCACAATTCCGAGCACTATTAAAAATAATTTGTGTCATGTATAATATAACTGAAAGCCTTTCATTACTCTTTAGATATGTGAGTATGATTGTGATTGCATTGTCAGCTGTTGGCACACATGCTGCTCATTCCCTTAAATTCCTGTCTTCTAATTTGTCTGTCCCTGTTTTTTGACCGCCATACAATGATGGAGTGGTCATCACTGACCGTCACTAGCATTTCCGGGTCACGAGGGTTGAACGCGACGCTATTAACCACATCAGTGTGGGGGAACTTATGTAGGCAGATTCCATAGTGACGATCCCACACGTAGCCATGCTGGTCTTCTGCTCCACTAAAAACACAAAGTAAAAGATTAAGTTAATGTCATTATGAAATCACAAGCAACATGAGCTGAAGATCAAAGTTGATTTGAATCAACATTTGCAGTTTCAAATGGATGTTGTTTTTTTTTTTTGGGTGAACTGAACTTCAATAATTACGTCGACTATTCCAAATACCAAGGTAATAGATCTAGAATTTTTTTCATTCATGTTTTGATCTTCTATTTACATGATTTAGCTTGATATTTATTGAGAGCTTCTAATCAAAGATTTTTTCAATGATGCTGTTTTGCCTTACCTGGCTACATACTCATTGGAAACATCAAGGAAAATAAAGAAGCACTCATCATTAGGAGTATAGGCCTTGTGTGCTCTGTACATTTTGCCTACTTTCTTCATTTTTAGCAGGTCGATGACATGAATATCAATCTCCTGAGCTATAGGAGGGGGGTAAAAAGGGTTTTCTATGGTGTAGTTCTTTGGCCACTGTCTGCAGTTCACATACAAGTACCTGTGAAGAATTGTGGTATATTAAGCTCATTTTTCATATAATAAGTTTGGTTTGTCTATCTGTGTGTTTATTTGTTTATCACAAGTTTCAACATGGCCATAAGCACAGATTTATTTATAGATATACACCATAACTAGGTTAGGTTGAGAAGTCAAACTCTGAAAAAGACAGATTCTTTATTTCATTTAATGCAATGCCATATTCTTTACAAAAGAATAAAGAATACTTCACGAGAGGCCCATTGGCCACACTAGTCACCCGAGGAAGGAGAACAGTTGGGTGACCTTTCAAAATGTATGTTAATTCACTTCTTGACAGAAATACAAATACTCACCTGTCATCAGGTGACAGACACAAGCCTATGATGTGACCATGGAGATCAATCACATGGTCTACATCATCGTAACCCTCCCGATCTATTCCGTGCAGGTTCTCCTCCACGTTCGGCATCACCTGTACTCGGTCGCCTATGACTCTCTCTAATGACTTCATTCGTTTGATTCCTATCTGGTGTGGAGTGAAAGTCTCTGATCCTCGAGTGAAAATTAAATATTTATCAGGAAATTGACACTTTTGCTGACTAGAAGAAGTTTCTGAAATTGATTGTTTACTAGAGGAAGACTTATTCTTTTTTCCGTTATATCGAGCTGTCTTATCCTTAGGAAAAGGGTCCTGACCTTCGATCACATGGGAGCGATCCTGACTGAACAGAATGTTAGATTGAAGAGGGTAACCATACACAGATCCACCGGCGTACATCCCTTTATAACAGTGATCCTCGCAGCTATAACGCCTACACACGGAACACAAACCCTCCATACTTTTCAAAGAAGGGTCAGAATTAACCGACCTCATTTCCAGATCATTGGACGTCCCAGTAGCACCATTACAAGCTTCAATATCAGCAGTTGCTTCCATATCATTATTAGCTGAAGCAATGTCCTCCTCTGCATCTCGATAGGATTGACTGTATGTAATCGTACTATTGATTTCATGAGCCATTTTGTCCTCCGCGTCCACTTCAATCATTTTTTCCCTTAATGCTCCGTCCTCATACACCGTCACCTGTTGCACCTTTTTACAGACTTTCTCAACTACCTTTTTCGTTTGGTTATCCTTTGAAGTTGATGGTTTACCTTTCTGCAGATTTTCTGAGGAAGAGTCAAAGTCTGTGGAATATTTAATGGTATCACAGTTACACTGTATCTCACTCTCTGTGTCTGTTAAGCACTCTGCTACAAGCAGTGTTCTAATAGAACTTGCATTTTGATTTTCAAAACGATAGAGTCCCATCACCACTGACTCGTGCTCTGATTCAATGTCTTGAAATCCCTGAAATAGTACAGCATTTACAACAGGCATCTTTATACACATAAAATTCACTTTTTTTTTTATTTTAAAGATTGATACATGTATTACAACTCATTTTCTTGTCTATTAAATATACCAAAATAATGTAAAAAAAAAACAAAAAAACACCTTTCATACCCCCCCCCCCACTTTTATTATCCACAATG